CCCAAACCTGCAAAACGATACGGGGCACCCTCAGTGAATTCCACCATTGCCACAAACAAGTCATTTTGACGCCAGCTCATGTAGGTCTGCGTGTTCTTGCCACTCACGTTTGTCCGATGCATTGCAGATCCGGCTGCAGCCCACTTACCAACAGTTCTCGTGCTGCCCTTTGCAGCAGTAGCAGAAGCAGCTGCAGCACCCAACCGAACAAGCAAAAGCCAACAAACCATACAACAATAAGAAGCACGTAAGTGGGAAAGAACTGAAGGTACTTCGCATGATGCATGTCACAAGACCACGAGCAGCAACAAGAAGGAACACAACACATCTAGGAAAGGGCTGCAACCATGTCATAATTGCAAAGCAATTACAATGCATGCACCGATAATGGCACGTTGAATCGGCAGGATTGAGGCCTGGAACACGACACCGTAGATGTATTTATTCGTCATTGTACCCTGGGGAACCCAGCAGTTGGTCTAGTCTTGAGTCTAGCGCCCTCTCTACATGCATGGAACATTTCCACAGCTCCACCAATCTCAGGCAGCAGAACCAGACCTCTTGTTTCTTGACGCGGCAGTGGATCAAGGCGCAAACTCAAGGGCATATGGCCTACAGTTAAGCAGGCCATAGAGATTACTATCCAACTTGGATGGGAGCGGCCAGGATCGCATCGAGTTTCCAAAGGTATAAACTTCATTGATGCCGGACTGCAACCCACTCTGTCTGGGACGGCGCTCCAATCTTATGCAGCTACTCACCCAGTCATACCAGATCCTTCAAACTTATCCCACAGTAGCCAGGGCGCAAGGTATCAGGAAATACAGAAGGAGGAAAGCCAACCGTCGCTCGTTTTATGGTCCTCTATGCCCACAGCCGGTGTTTGAATGAAAGGTTCAAGAGATTGATACCCCCGGGCTCTACGGCAGAGTCCTTAATTTGGCGCGCATACTACTGCCTTCCTCACGCGTGCCTAAAGTGAAAATCTTGGATGTTTTCATTTTTCAAACAGATACTGTACTTAGAAACCTCAAGTTTTGTTAGCCAAGCAGTTGAACTCTACCTGAACAGGTGGGTCGACAGCAGTTTCTGCGCAACCGGCTTGGACCTGGGAGCCTTGGTGTCATCCTTCGGGCAAGCATGGTGATAACCTGGGCATATGCCTTCATTCTGTTCCTGGTCCTAGAAGCCACGCAGGTCTAGGGACTCCAGTAGATCTGGGGACGCTTTTTTTGCCGCAGCTGACTGTAACAAGGCCTGCTTGGGAGTACACCATTCAAGCACCAACCAAGGGTGGATTTGGAGAAGCTGTCCCTTGAATTGTCGCTGACCACGGCAGCTTCCACAGTGGGGTCGAGCAACCTGGCCAAGTATTACGGCGGCATACGCAGACCCTTCAAAGCAGATCATTTGTGTCCTGTAGCTGGCACTGCTTACACACGAGCTAGACACGCGTTCTGCTCCTTTGAGCGTTTGCGCGCCTTAAAGCTGCTGTGCTACACGCCAGCTTACTGTAGCAAAGCAAGCAGTGCCTCATCCTGATTTATTGAAGCATCCTAGCTTGACACATCAAAACAAGTTGCCTCAGGCGGTCGCCCCATCCTCCTCGTTGCATGTGCCCCTAGGCGGCAAGAAGGCTTGTTACTGCAGCTGACTGACCATGTCATCAAGCTTGCATACGGCGTCGCACGCTACAGCAATTAGTTCATGATTCTGCGGACTGGATTCAGGTCATGCATGCAAAACAACGTCCAGACAACGAAAACCCGTGAATCTGCGTAATTCTGCGTTTGCCTTGCTTTGGCGTTGACTGATTAGCTTCAAGGAGACTTAATTACCTCTTGACATGAATGTCCTAAGTTGCAGTAATTGTCGGATTTCAACTTCGTCGATTAGCTGTCTCGCCAATCAGCGCTTTGTGGCCGGGTCCTGTTGCATGAGGCTTCTGACTGCCTTCGCGATGACCCTTTCGCCTTCCGTGATCGGGCTGGCGCCGGAGCAGATGTGGAGGTCTTTGAGTGCCAAGGCCATTGGTGCGGTATTACTCTCGGTGCGCTCTCTTTCCTATTTATCCGTCCACGTCCTTACTCAACATGCCAAAATTGGCTATGCCCTTTTAAGTTAGGGGTCGAGTTACAGTATTGTAGCATGGGGCGCCTGGTGGATTGTGCTAAACGTCGCATGTAGTGGCTCTCACCACATGTGCCAAAAGCAGAGGGCGTGAGATGTGGGAGCGATGTCGTCCTTCGGTAACGACTGTATTTGAGGCTCTAGAACTGGGCTCCCCATCACAGGCAGCCCACAGAAAATTTGGTTGCGGCAGCTGAGCCCCTCAGAGACCATTGTGGCCAGGCAAAAACTGCTTCCACGACTCCTTGCTGCTGCCCCTTGTTCATGAATCTCGGCCACAGAGATATGTGGCAAGGTTTGTCGCCAGCTTGCATGATTCAGACATTTTTGCCGAGCATTGTACTTTGGCTTCGGGAAGCCGTTGCTCTGTTGCACGGGCATCTCTCACTGTTTTGGAAGCCATCCGACCTTGCTGGCACTGGATCTGCAACTTTACTTTCCAAGTGCCATGCGTCCACTTGCCAAGCCTCCGCCACCTGCTCGCTTACCCCATGCAGTGTCAACGACCAGCTGTAAACGCTCATCCTACAGTAGCAACCCACTATTACCGGCACGTCATTTGTAACGAAAGATTCGCTTGGGCCGTTGAAGACCTCGGTCCCAGTTATTTCAAGTAGCTCAAGCCCTTGCTTTTTTGAGATCGCCTGCAGTTAGACAGCACTAGCCCAGAAAACCTGTCAAGATACTTTGCTATTTGCTTAGATTCTTATCAAGCCTCTGCTGATTACCACCTGGACGGCGCACGCTCAGAAAAACTCAAGGCCAGAGGCCCGTTGTCCTCTACACGAAGCCTTCTTTATGACGGCAGTCAAAAGATGCGCATAGTTAACATGCCATTCTCAACCGGGAGAGCAATCGGCAAGAAGAATGGGGCATCGATCAGTTGAACTTAGCCTTGCTGACATCACCCACTTTCGGCATCGGGAGGAGGGCATTAAGCTGAGAACCTGCTTTGGAATGTTCGACAGTGATCCTAAGGAAGCACCTCACCAGGCGGCGTTCGATCGCATGGCTGAGAAGATGCTTGAGTGGCTCACGTAGCGAGGCAGGCAATGCGAATACGTTTCCAACAGTGTTACAACGTAAGAGAAATAATGGAAGGCTCGGCGGTGGTAAGGTCCACGCCTTCCCTAGCCTGCATGCACGCGAAGTTGTTCATGCACAACCTCAACCTGAAATCCTGGAATAGCAAGCCACCCCCCTCCTCAGACAGTGTTGAATGATTGCTTGCCGCGAGCTGCTCAGGTGATGTGTCGTGCAGAAGCTCAAAAGGAGCGTGGCGCGAGCTGGCGGGTTCGTGGTGTGTACAAGGATTCAGGACCCAGGCAATGAACTACAAGATTGCTTGCATGTCTTTCTAGCGGCAGAGCTGCATGATTCTGCATGCATTTGAGATTGCAATTTGCAAGCATTGGCCTGTTAAGCGTATCTGAATCCAGGCCCTCCATCTCTCTTCACTTCCCCAAATCATTCTACCATATGCACTAGAGCAGCGATCGGAGGCATAGCGCTCAACAAGTCGCTTACACCTGAACAGTGTGCGCCCGAGGTTGGGAACTGAATCGAAGAGCTCTGTGTTGTCACGGCTGAAGCCGGTCCTGGCCGTTTCCTTAGTGCCTGCCGTGTCCTGGGAGTGTTGCTGGAGCACCTCAGTACCCCGTGCCTCTTGATGTCGTCAAGCCACAAACGTACAGTCTCGCAACACAGCTGATGGTGCTGATTCCCCAAGGTCTTGGCCTCTGGAGAGCTACGCATGGGATTGGAGGGGTGCCTTCCCATTAGGACACATACCGTTGAGTTTGCTGCGTTAGGGCTTCAGGATCGCCATGTGTTTTTTTTGGACCCCCATTCTACCTCCCTCACACATGTGTCCGTTCCCCCGCACAGGTACGGATCTCAAGAAGGCAACTGATCTTCATTGACCCTTGCTCTTCTGCTGCTGTTACGGGAACTGAGTTAGATTCAGATGGCTTTCGTGCTAAGCGCAACTACCCATTGATTCGAGGGTTGATGATGTGCTATGTTTAGCTGTGGTCTGGAGGTTGGTTGACGAAACTCAGACCCATGATTGCGAGCAGGGTCTCAAAAAAAGGCTCCAACACTGAACCTTTGCTTGGGGCACGGCTTGACCACGACACGAGAATGTCGATTCCCAGAATGGAAGAGGTCTGTGTGCGGCCTGCATGATGCTGGAGGCTCTCACTGTGGCTTTGGGCAAGGCGGGGAGTCTTTCACAGAGCAGTCGTTGACTGTACGTCCATGGCACAACTTGCTTCTTGAGCGGTGGATGTGTAAAGCAAGGGGTGTTTGGACGGGACGGGCTGCCTGCTTTCTTGAAAGTGTTGCTGGCTGAACAGGATGCCGATGCACTGGAAAGCGGCAATCTCGAGGAGGCGAGATGCCGCTGTTGGCTGCTTTGAGGAGGGAAGCGTGGGGCTCATGGCCCCTGTCAGTCTGGCAAGGAAGGCTTCTGATAGCCTGATACAGCAAGCTGCCAGGTATACGGAGATGTTGCAGCATGGCCAGTTCTGAAAGGCTCTTTGATTTAGTGATTTTGCGGCAGGGCAATCAGGCTCAAGCCTGAGAAGCAGTCCTGCGGAGCAATATAAAGAAACTACACAAAAACAACACACCTCGACACACATTTTACTCATGAAGTGCGCCTGCATGAGGCCAACACAAAAGCGCTACAACCCACAAGCCCGAAACCCCAAGACAACCACCCCACACCACAGACTCGGATAAGTGGACGGCTTCGTGCAGTCTGCACGCGTTCCGCCATGGCTTCGCAAGCTGCAGATAGCTTGAGCCACCTGGCCGCAAGTTGTGCGGTTCCAGTGCATATACCCGTATAGCCTGTTGCAGTCAACCCTGTCTTCTTTGCAAATATGTCAGAATGACAACCTCCCATCATGTGTGGAATATGCCCGGACAAATGTATGTGTTATACACATCTACACACATGTACTAGATTTACGTTACATATGTATATGTTATATCTATATATACATACATATGCATGCGTGTATGTATGTATGTATGTATGTATGTGTGTATGTATAAATATATATATATGTATATATGTATATAATATAGATATAAGTATTCTGGCAATGCATCCAAGCCGACGCGAGGATGCAGCTTGTGCGCATGATGTTTTGGCTGAAGGGGGCTTTGCCCTGTGCTGAGCTGAGGCATCACGTTCAAGCCTGTCCGACAGGACGGGGGGCTAGTCTGCACACTGTTTGTCTTTTCTGTATAGGTCCTGCTGATCAGGCCAGGCCCTTTTTTCAAACTTTTTCTCTAAAGCCTTGCCCCACCTTTCCCGTCAAGCACGACACTAGCAGGAGATTGGCTGTCCTAACAAACATCACGTATCTAGCTTCACGTTACCTCACAGTCGTCGACAAGATGAGAAAGCCCCGTCCCAGTGGCCTATGCAAAGTGTGTGACGCAACCCTTTGACATTGGCAGGAGCTGGGAGAAGGCATGGGGTTGGGGAATGGCAGGAGTGGCATCGGCTTCATGAGCTTGTAAAGACTAAAGAGCTTCAGCGTCAACAGCTTCGAGATTCTTAGACCCTTGCCAACCATACGTATGTGCATCAGGGATAGAAAAGCCCCTGCTCTGCCATAGATAGCAGGGATACTTCGCAGCGAAGCGGCTGTCCTTAGGCTACGGTCGAGATTCTATAGGTAGTGGGCTGGAAGCTACAGTGTGACGGAGTGCAGTCAGATCCCAGTCTGTGACAGAGCTTGAACCCTCAGAAGATTTCTTCAAACCCTTCAGGCAAGACAGTAGTCCTCACCGCGGGCGGTGATCCCGTCACCTTGGGACGAAGCTCAAAATGCACAATGCAGGCAAGGGGGCGAAACAAAATGCAGCGGGGTGGATTAGCAGATCCTTCTTTTGTTTGTCTCCGGCTGCCTTCTCAGCATTGTGCCAAACAATCACGGCGATACGCCTGTTCTGAAGAAGTTGATCACGCTTGCTCATTGAGAAAAGTTGAAAAGCCTGATATCAGTTCGATGTGTTTGGGAAGTTGAAAGGTCAATCTTCCCGGCGTCTCCAACACGCACGTGGAGCTTAGACTGCTGCGTCTTGGCATTGCAACTTGAGGTTTGTCACGCATGCATGGGCGAAGCTTTAGAGGGGACTGTTGAGTCACTTGCATGAGTCTTAGTTTTGATGGCTAAAACGTGGGAAGTGTCTTAATTTTTGGGCCCAACCAAAGATTGGGGGCCAATAAACTCAAAATGTTATCCTTCTGTAGCTTCCCACGGTTCTGTTGGATTGCATGATTCAAAGGGGATGGTCTGGATTCTGCTAAGACCCCAAAACCGAGACATTTAAGAGGGCCCGCCCACTGGCCTGGAACTCTTCAAGCGCATCCCGAACCGCATCAAAGAAGGCCTTGTCAATGGTGCATGTCCAGCATTCAAGCCTGCGACATGCCAAGGCATGAACGAAGATGTAGCATGATGTTTGCTTAGCACAGAGGATCTACAGCTCGAAATGCTCTGAATGAAGCTGCTGCTGTTGCTTTTGCTAATTACATGTCAATGGGTAGCGGGAGCTTCTCGATTTGTCTCTGTGGAATGCTTCTAAAGAGGACCCTCATAACCTTCTATTCCCAAAGATATGTCCCTCCAACTTCCTGAGGTCTCCCTTTGTGGTGCTTCAAATCCTGAAAGTCAATTGCAGGAAGCCGAAGTCCGGGGCGCCAAGCGCATCTGATCTTCGCGTAAGGGACGTGTCCTCGAATGGTAGTGGCCTCGAGGACGGAGTTCAGGGCTTAGGTTCTTTTCGTCTGCATGGGGTGCATCTCAGTTGCAGGGCTGAGGTTTTTTCCAGGCGCAGTGGAGCTGCCAGGATCTTGGAAGTTCGCGCAAAGTGAATACTTGGGAAATGTGGTGTGCGGCGCAGGTTGCATTTCTACTCAAAGCAGAGTTTCTTGTGCGATTTAAAATTCCTGAAGGAGCCTGGATCTACCAGCAAGACACAGAAGCTCAAGAAGGACGCTCAAGGGACAACATGGCAACTTTGAGAAATGTGGTCTTCGTTGTCAGGTCAAGTTGGTATGGTACGATATCTAGGTATCGAAGAGTCAGCGTAAGATGTGCTTCAACTCGTCAGGCCAGTAAGCCACCAGTCTTTGTGATCACCTAACCGAACCACTGTCACTGTCATTTTTTGGTACATGTGATTGTCTTTGAACTTTTCTCGAACAATATTAAGAGTGCTACCATGCCTACGTACAGGAACGACCGCATTGAATTCGAGTTGGGGATCCTGCAAATAGCCCATATGTAAACTTCCAATTCCATGGCCCAGCTCCCAAGAGTCAGAACCAAACTTTGCACGTGGCAAGTTCTTGAAAGCTGCAAGGTTCCTGGATGAGGTAAGCTTGGTGAGCAGTGACAGGACACCGACACGGTCATCAAGGAGGGTGCCCTGATTGTCTTTCCACTTCGTATGAAGGTGAAAACGGATGCTTTTCTGGAACTTAGAAAATCCTAGGACCGCATTGTCAGAGCACGGTACAACTTCATGTCCTGGAAGATCTTTCGGCATGGAGTGCCGAACCTTGCTGCTTTACCTCAGCGCTTGATGCCATTGCCTGTGATGTAGGCCCATTATTGCTTGGCGTAGGAACTGTTCTGATTTCAAATGCCGCGCTGCCTGACCTGTTTTGTTGGCATATGAAGTCACAAGTTGCAACTATTTTGAAACATGCTCCCAGCTTGGCCATTGAAACTTGGGCCTGAGGCTAGCCTTTACCGTTTTTTTGCCTTTGGTCGTGGCTTACCCAGGAAGAGGGACAGGCAAAGATTGCGGTGCAGTACGCGGCGACTTCCTCCAAGGAGGTCCAGAAGGTGCTTCTGGAAGCGCGAAGAATCCTTTCATGTGGCCCCAAGGTTCAGAAACGGCTATGCAGAGCTTGGGCAAAATCATGTAGAGATTCGTTCGGGGTCGCCTGTGTTCGCATTCCCAAACCACATGCAAGACCGCAGCTCCCACGCATCACCCGATCAATTAAGCGCCACTCAAGCAGAGATTCATCCATCCCAGATCAGTGTGGAAGGTGGCCGCTGTAGACCTTGAAGAGACGCCGCCGCCACCGGCTGCTCCTGCAGTGAAGCACCTTGCAAGTTCAGCGTTTGAGATGTGGATAATTTCGAGGGTGTAGCTGGCAGCATACAACAAAAACATACAAAACATGAGTGAGCCGTGTCAAATTTGGCGTGCTGGTAGCAGTATAGCTGAGACGTACAGCAGTCCTGCAACCTGCGCATGCCGCTGGCCTAGTGCTATCTGAGACAGGCTGATAGATGAGTCCAAGCCACTGCCTCGGGCAGACAAGCTGCTACAGCAGTTGGATTCCAAGTTGGAGGCCCGAGAGTTTCAAACGTGTGGGGGTTTCAGACTAGGCAGATGTGGAATTTTTTGTCGGTGCAGGAACACATTTCAGGATCCTGCAAGCAAAACGTCAGCATTTGCGGTTCCAAGGCAGTTTGTAAAGATTCCTAAGATTTCAGAGAGCACTGCGACTTGCAAACCGGAGCCCTTGGCAGGAGATCTCAGCTGGCAAGCTGGAGAACGGTGACAAGACAAAGAGCAAGGATGGTTTGGGGCAAAGCTTTCCATTCGCTTAGAACTAAAGGTGCCCTTGGCAGTCCACAGTTGGCTTTCTCCGAAGCTGTGGTTTCAACCCATGGTCAGGAGCTGAAGCCGGCCGTAGATGAAAAAGAGACGCCGGTAGCGGTGCCGGAACCCGAGCCTCCAGTGCCAGTGCCTGAGCCTCCAGCCCCGGTGCAGGAGGAGGAGCCAAGTTCATCTTCGAATCTAGTTGCAGAGCGGTTGATGCCGTGTCGGTTCAGCTTTCAGCTGCATAAAGAAGGACACAAATCGTTTCCCGTGCACCACAAAATCTCGCAGGAGCCAGAGTCTCCGGAGGAGCCTAAGGAGGAGGCCAAGGAACCGGAAGAGTCGGGCGCGAAGGCGGCTTGCAGCTTCCGATGCATCACCCAGTTATACATTTGATGTTTCTGTGCTGGAGTAGTACTGCAGAAAGAGGTATGCAGGGAGGCATGCATACAAGTTGCACCTGTCTTGAAGCTGTGGCTGTTTCGTGCAGTGGAACGCAGGGCACCCCGCCAGAATCTGTATGCTGCTGGCATGCGTGCAGATTACAATTGCCGAAACAGCTATGTCCTGCTGCTCTGAAGCGGCAGGGCAAGCCCCCCTTTGTCCGTCTTTCAGCGGCTGCGAACTGCCCACTGATGTACCGCTACAGCACGCAAGCCTAGGTGTTCAAGCCGCGTGTCATGTTGATGTGCTCAGCAGGCAGACGATGATGGCAGCAGCACCTTGGCCACATCCAACTGCTGAAAAGCACCCGGGATGGAGCGTAGGCACCCTGCACAGAGTCCAAACTCCTAGTATTCCCTCTTATAACCTCTATAGTATAGTATAGTCCCATATATAATCCCCTAGAGGAGATCCAGACTATGCTCTTGAGCAGTGGCATTGCCAGCCATCGTCAAACCCTGCAGCTGTGAAGTGCTGTTTCCGGCACAAGCATCACAACCCAAGCAAACCAGACAAGCCCAGGCGAAGACGACAGCATACACGTCGCAAAGAAGCAGGCTGCAAAGGAGAAGGAGTCAAAGCAAAAGGCCAGCTGAGGGTTCCCCAACAGTGAACACATGCTGGCTTGCACTCTCCTCAAGAGACACTGGAGGAAGTTGGGGGGCTGGGCTTCACTTCTTCTAGGAGACGGCGATTGGTTTGTTACGCCAGTCAAGGGCTGCAGGCAGATCCGTTTCCTTTTCCATTTGCATCCCTCTGTGGCCTTGTCATCCCAGCGCTCAAAAGCCTGTAAATATTGCCTGGATGAACCGGGACTATGGCACATGCCCATGTTCAGAACTGAATTGTACCTGTGAAAAGGCAGGTGCTATTCCTAAGTGCCTCAGAGCAGTCTTGTCCTGCAGAAGAAGCAGAAAAAGAAGGAAGAGGAGGACGCCAAGGCCAAGAAGAAGGACGATTCTGATGATGACGAAGATGACAAGAAGGATGCCCCGAATTTGTTCATCAGTACATTTTGCCAGGTCCATGTCTCCTAGTGAATTCGGAAGCCAACGACAAGCTTGATCGATCCCTCAACTGTTTGATGAGAGAGTCCCGAATTTGGGGGCGTCAGGTGTCAGGTGTTCGTGCTTATTCTTCTGTTCCCTGAGAAAGCCGCTTATGAGGCCAGGCAATCTAGAGATGAATTGAGCAGCCCTCCTTAATTCCCCAAAGCCGAAGCTGGTGTTCTACATCTGTTTACTTGGCATGTGAACCATCTTTACTATTTAGCTTGAGAAGCGCTCTCGATCTCACGAAACTTCCTGCCAATGGCTGAAAGGACAAAAAGGACTCATCAGAATCCAACGACAGTGACGCCCCTAAGAAGAAGGCCGCGAAGAAGTCAGACGATTCATCTGACAGTGAGAAGGCCGGCCCGTTTTGGCAGGTATTCAGGTAATCACCCTTGCAAAAACGACCAATCACTAGCCTGTTGAGCACATTGGCTTTGCCTGGCGTCAATGTGCTGGAAAATATCGACTAATCACTATGTAGCTTCTAGGCAGCAAAGGGTGCAACTGGACGTGGCATCTGTGGTAGTTTGCATTTATTGGGACTAAAATCCGTCAAGTCCTCCAACTGAGCACTCCGTCTACCATCGGTCTTTGCTCTTCTTCAGGTATGAGCGCAACGCTGCGTACTGCCTTCCCTATAACTCCTTGAGGATAAGAAGAAGGCCAAGAAGAAGGATGATGACTCCGACAGTGAGGCAAGCAAGAAAAAGAAGAAGGCCCGGCCTGTTATGGTGTCTAGACGTGGAGGTTTCCAGTAATTGGGTGCTCTTACCTTTTTGTGGTGGTTCCAGTAACAACTTTAGAATAAGGGTTATGGTATTTTGGGGTCATGTTGGGCCCCCTGATTTTTTTGTCAACTAGCGAGTCTGCTTGCGCGCGTTAGTCTGTATAGGGCTCGATGCCCTCTTGGGGATTCAACGATGATGTGTTCGAGGTGGTCTAGTATTGTACTTCGGGATCTCCCAGGCATCCTGTGCCAGCACACCCGAGCGGCATAAAATCACAGACGAAACCAGACTTCAGCTACAGGAGGGTTGCTTGCAGAGCTTGGTGGCGACGCATGTACTTTTTTTTGTGTCAAAATCTTACAGCTTCAGCGCGCAATAGAGCGCCTGTCTTCCTAAGCATAATTAGCAAAGCGATGTGGACGACGTCCCGTTGAGCCGCAAAGCAGCCATCCCATCATGCATGGGTGCAGAATACCCTCAGTCAGCACCCTGAGGTTTCAAAGAAGAAGTCGGACGACTCAGATGATAGCGAGGACAACAGTGTTGACTGACAGGATGAACACGATGCTTTTCTACTGAGACTTTAAGTGCACGGTCTGGCAAATCCAGACCGGCAACTATTCCGAGCTTTGGCTCGGCAACGGGTTTGGAGGGGAATCATAATCGTGCCACCAACTCAATCCAGAAAGCAACGCCATGACAGGATCGCAAGAAGAAGCGGAAGCGATCAGATTCGGGCTCAAGGCATCTTTTTTCTGGTTGGTTTCGGTATGGTTTGTGGGCACGGAGGCACACCTTCGAGCATTATTGCAGGTCACCGCGTGTCACATGTGAGGTCCTGCACACAGTCCATGAAGTCCGTAGGGTTTGGGAGCGGAAATCGGCACAAAAACGATATTAATTCGTCATTCAAAAGCCTCGGAATCAGATATCACTTTGCAGGTCAAAGTCGAGGCGGCGCAGCAAGAGCCGCAAGCGCGATCGCAAGGTGGAACGGCAGACTGAAGTTTTCTTTGGGACCGGGTCACCGTTCGCGGCAGAGCCAGATCTTGGGCAGGTGTTTGTATCCTCCCTGCCCTACACAATACCCCTTACAATCCCCTTATTGGTTCGCATTCCCCTTCCCTCATGCGATAGCCGGGGGCTATGTCTGTCAGTTTGCGAGGCCAAGAGGAGTCGCAGCCGCTCCCGAAGGCGACGCAATCGCAGCCGCCCCTTGGCCGGAATACATCCTGGTTTAGGGCATATCAGGGTTTTGGTTTGAGTCTTGTGCATGGTTGTGCATCAGGCATCAATCAGAAGCTTCATGAACACAGGTGAGGATTGATGTTATGTTGCCAGTAGTTCCCAGCAGGCCCCATAAAGTTGAGACGCCCCATACTGAACATCCGTGTGAGCTTTTCTGGCTTAGCTTGAGCTGCTTGGAGGTTCCTTGTAACTATCCGGGTTTACCAACAAGATGTTGAGAAGATGTTGTACGTAGTTGTGATGCACGTTACCTCTCAAGCCATAAGCTCAGGGTTACTGACTGCAGACCGAGACCTGAACAAAGAGGTCAATTTCCTGTGGTATGACCCTAGTCTACCTAATGAATTTTCCATGAACCTTCTAGCAGGCCGGTGCTTTTTCCACATCAATGGCCATGCTCACTCAGCCGGAAGCGTGCTGAGACAGGAATATCTAGAACAATGTAGGGGTTAAAGGATCAGGAAAGTTCGGAGCAAACAACCCAGATATGTCTATAAAGCCTGTGCCACATACCAGGCTCCCGCAAGCGTAGCGCCAGCCGACGAGTCGCTTGGCACAACTAACGCACATGCTTGGCTTCATGCTTAGCAGGTTAGCGGGCAAGTGGTTGAAGAAAGCTAAGCCAGGTCTTGTTTCCTAGCAAAAGTTGAAGAGCCTGCCAAATCACGTATAGAATGAGCAGCATCAGCCACTTGTCCGCAGGACCGTCGTCGCAGCCGATCCCGGCGTGCTCGCCGCAGTCGCTCCAGAAGGAGAAGTCGAAGTCGACGAGACCGCCGCGACAGGCTGCGTTGCTCTCCATCCTCGCGCTTGCTTTGCTTGTGCTCATTGCGGAGTTCTCTTCTCATTGAGTTTTTTGTTGCAGGAGAAGTCCGCCCAGGCGAAAGGAGGAAGACCGAAAGGCAAGCCGTGTTTAAGCAGGGCGGGGAGGTACGGTATTAAATGGAATCAAGGGGCATGATTAATTTTGCAGGCGGCTCGCCAAATTGCAACGAGAACAATTGGGTAATTACCTTTGCTAGGTTTCTCCGGCACGCGCAGTAGGTGAGAGGCAGCGGCTCACCGCTTCCTTGCTCGTAGCGTGCTGGGTGACAAGGATTAAGTTATGCTGCATTTCGGAAGTTGGATTGTGCTTCCTTGCTGGCTTACGCAGCCGAGAGCAAAAAGCCCTTGCCTGGTCCAAGTGCTGCCAAATAATGTTGGCTCATGTTGAGGCCTTGTGGCGGATTTAGTTTCTCGCAGCTGAAGCTGTGCATGGGTAGAGTCCGCAGAATGCGACAACACTCAAAGCGCAGGCTGATATATTGGAAATTATTTAGGCCATAATATACTATAATATACCATAATATACTATAATAATGTACTATATTGGTAATTATTTAGGCCCCTATATAGGCTACACATCGCCCCGATTCCTGAAACCCACAATCAACTTGTTGGGCTTTATCTTGCTGACTATGAGGAGACAAATAGGGGATTTCCCAAAATTAGGGTACTGGTGCCTTTAGAGGGTCCTTACAGTAAGGATTATAGTATTTTGGGGTATGTATTGGGGTCCCCTATTTTGGGCAACTACCAAATCATTAACATATATACATATATCCCCTATATAACCCCATTATAGTAGCTTCCATTTTCTTTTCCATTATCCCAACAGAGCCCCAATGTAACCCCTATATATACACCATAATAATCCCAGTTTACATTTCATTTTCCATTTTCTTTTCCATTTGATTCTCCATTATAGTAGCTTCCATGTTATTTTCCATAGGTTCTTTGGCTAAGATGCTAGGGTTTGTTAGAGTCCCCTCAGGCCGAGGCAAAGCCTACCAACGCCGAAGTACGAGCTCGAAGCGGTGCTGGGGACGAAGCATCTGGGGCTGCACATGTGAGCTATAGAGTCTACACTCCTAGAAGGGGTTATAGAGGGGAATATGTAGGATTTAGGGTCACCTTCAAGGGAGTCATGGAGGAGATCATATAGGATTTAGGGTTTGGGGTCTGAAAAACAGGGATCATAAAGGATTCAGGGTTCGGGTTTAGTGTTTAGGGTCTACTCCTTAAAGGGGAGTTATATAGGGGAGAGTTATAGGAGCTATATTGAGGGGGATACGAGCAGTTTAGACTATAGCTCACGTTGGGGGGGGTGGGCTGCACAAACAGGGGGCCCATTATAGACCCCAAAATATTACAACCGTCATGCTACGGACTCCCAGGAAAAGGTGTCCACGCGTGGCCCTGAGTTTTACGCACCCCGATGCATCATTTGTTGGACACCCCCCAGCCTCAAAGCATTCGCGCCTTCAGACATATGCGCGAACAGGATGTGTTCAGTCCTTGCCTCCATATTTCAGAATTTGTAGTTACCGCCCAAGGCAGCGGCTTCGAAGAAGAAGGAGGCGTGATTGTAGTGAGGAGCTTTGCGCATTACGGCAACGAGAATATGGGTTGAGTTTGGGGTCCCTGTACACTCTGGGGTCCTTGCAAAAGGCCATCATGTTCATCCAGGTGAAGTATATAGGGCAAGCAAATCTAGCTTTTAGACGATGCTGGGCAAACCCAGCAGTGACCAGTATTGCCAGAAGTTAGTTTTAGTTCTACGGGTTCGCATGCTGGCGCAGCTGCTCCAGGCAGACTCTGATTCCTCTGACTCCGAGAAGAGGAAGAAGGACAAGAAGGCAGAAGCTCTATACTCATTGTGGAGCTCGTAACCTGGGTTCTCATCAGATAGGCTTGCAGTAGTCGGCTGTGTAAGGATCCACTTTGTTTGCATGTCTTGTAGACCTTAGAGATCTGCAATGGTACACAGCCAGAGGGATTGGTGGTCTGGTTTGAGTTGACAATCCTCTGTTTGGGCTGTGTTCTTTCAACTTGTTCCAGTGCTGAGTTTTGTCGTCATGTTGGTTGGTGATCGCCTGCAGCGGCAGGCGTTATTGCCCTTGATACTGCCTCCTGCTGTCTTATGGCGAGCTGCGACTGTTGCATAATGCTCCTCTGTTCCCATTCACTCTTGCTGCAGCGGCCGGCGACTGATTCTTGCACTTGCTAGCAACATGTCGGGACTGCCGGTGCTGTTGCTCCTACTCTTGTTATCTTGGTTGAAAGAGTGTTAGCTGTTAGCTCCTCTAGAAGTTGGGAGGGAGTCGGCTTTGTTGGGCCCAGGCTTCGGAGGAACCACCTGCCAAAGCGGAGGATGCCGAGGAACCTGCCAAGGAGGCCTGGAACTCTGACATCCTCTGTGTGCCTGTGCAGAGAAATATCTGGATGTTGGGTTTAGAGCTGCGAGACCTTGAAACCACGAGCAGCTGCAAGGATGCTAGGATTGAAGGACTAATCCCTTCCCCCTAATAATAAACGACGTCACCCCCCCCCCTAATAATAAATAATCCGGGTGGTCAGAAATGTTTTATTATGAGGGGGGGCATATTTATTGAAAGGATTTGGTAGGGCCGCCTTTAGATTCCTTGTAAAATCAATTAAAATCGAATTAAAGTCCGTTAGAATCAATTGAAATGTAATTAACATTCCTTTTAAAATCAATTAACATCGAATTAAAATGACGTTAGAATCAATCTGAATCAATTGAAATTCAATTAAAAATCCTTGTAAAATCAATTAAAATCGAATCAAAATCACGTTAGAATCAATCTGAATCAATTGAAATTTAATTAAAATTCCTTCTAAAATCATGCAATTAAAATCGAATTAAAATCCCGTTAGAATCCATTGAAATTCAATTTAAACTTCTTTTAGAATCAATTGAAATCAAATGAGATTCAATTGAGATTCAATAAAACACGACTAAAACTGTAATAAAGTCATTTAAAGTCGCATTCAGTTCTTGCATGTAAATCCTTTATAAAACCATATGAANNTGTCAAGGGGATCCCTAATTCCTCTGGATTTTCTGTTAACCCCCCCAATGACCTCAAAAAACCACCCCCTAATTCATTATGGCCTGGCTCATTTTAAAATTAGTACAGCCCTTTAACAAAATGCTCATGAGCAATTTTTAGGGTCCCGGATTTATTATTTATTGTTAGGGTGGGTTTTATTAATATGGGGAACGGATTAGTCCATGGTGTGGCGCATACTTGTTTGGCAGTCATAGCTTGACAAAGTTGTTGCATGCCTATCGCTTCTAATCAGGATGCGGGAGCAGAAGAGAAAGAAATCGAGGCCAAGAGGGTGCAAACAGACTAGACCTGCAGGGTTGCTCAGCTTGGCTGCCCAGCGCATTCTGCAACGTTTGGCTATGAGGGCCTTTCTAACAAACACTGTCCGGAGTGACTTTGCGCAAGGACCTGAGCGCACTTCAGGTGGCTTGTGAATGGCAAGTTTGCTGGCCACTCACATCCCGGTTTAAAGAATTCTGCAGGCGTCTGCGCTGGCGCAACGTGGACTGTGGAATTTACACACTGCCCCGCAACTCTGTCAGGACCTCATCCCAGAAGGTATGGATGTAGATGACAAGAAGGCCAGGTCTCAGATTGGCTGAGGAAAGCTGCCACTGTGCCTGAAGTGCTGCCCCTACTCTTCGATGAAAAGAGTGTAAGACCTGTAATCATGGCTCAAGACTGACAGGGTCGCGCAATCACACTCAGTCAGATGCTTGTAGATGCTATGACCAGCTTGCTGCCAGGCCTCTGCGGCAAAGCATTCTCTTGTGCACCTCGGCTTGGGCTTCCCTCGTGATTGGAATTCGAAGAAACCCTTCGGGTGCTACTCACCATACCTGATGCAGCGATGCTAAAATGATGCAATCGCACGATATATCCTCCCTCCTCAAGGCAGTTCAACTGGGACCGCCATGTTGCCACTGCAGGTCAAGCCGAAATCTGCTCACATGCATTGCCCTCGCAGCCCAGGAATCCTTTACATGCTCGTACGGCGAAACCCGGGGGCGAAGCCGTCGAGAAGGCCTCCTGGACAATCTGAGTTCGGTAAGGGAAGGGCTTTAAGCCTCTGAGTGTTACTGGTAGGTATTCCTCTGGGCTTGCTTGGGCAAAAAAGGCACAACTTGCAAGCCCTCCCGGATCCAGCCAAGTGACTGGTACAAAGGCGCAAAGTTGTACAGAGTGCCATAGTCCACTGCGGATGTCATCACTGCCTCGGCTTCTTGTTTCAAGGCTTCACGGTCCCGGGATGAGAATCCAGTTTGATCATTTGCCTGACACAACTCAAGTGCCCATGATTTAATTCCCACGATCTGCGCAGGAGCCTGGCGCGGAAGGGGTGGATGCTGAAAAGAAGGCAGGTGATGAGCTGCAGTCAGCAGCAAAGTTTACCTGTTCGAGTCTAGGGTACGTTGATTTGACCAAATCGGGTGCAAAATCTCTATTGCTGATGGTCGGGCGGACCCATGCATGTTCTGGGCCTCGTGGTAAGACTTACCTTGCAGGTCGCAGCCATGCCGAAGATCCAGTCGACGCCAATTGTGCACCTTGCTTGGTCCAATCCTACTTTGTGCCCACAAGTCTTAGAAGAGTGATGAAGAATTGAATGTGATGAATGTGCTTACAGAGAATTGTTTTGAATTTGAAGTTAGTGTTTCAAGCACCTAGAAAATCTAAAAAGGTTGGGAAAGGTGTTTCAGCTGGTGCTGTTCCCTTCGCTAGCCGGTGCCTCTCATTAGCTTTATAGTCGCAGATTTGGCTGCAACGGGCTTGATTTAGACTTCACTTCGTGGCTGTTGAATCCACGTTGATACCACTCGCCTGTCTAGATTATGCTGCGGATCTCAGGAGATCGGTAGAATCCTGGTACGCGTCTGAGGTAGCTGGATCAAGAGTGCGGTTGCTTGCTAAACACCTATCCCGGCGCATCGCATGCGTCGTTCCCAACGTCTGCCTCCAGGCCTTGTAGAGGGGCTCTTGCAAGGACACACGCACGAGGAATGCGCGCTTCAGCCAAGGAATCCGTTCCACAAGCGCATCGCCAAGCATCAAGCTGAAGCTATCGAGAAGGCCCATCATGTCATATTGCTTTAGCTGAATAAGCTCCACACCAACGACTGCTCACAAGAACATGACACATCATGCCTGCAGCAAGCTCCATTGCTGTCGCCAAGGATGCATGTTGAACGGCCAAGGGTTTCAAGTACCCAGCCACCGATTCAAGGGGTTCCAAGAATTAGGGCCCCTTGCTGGCGTTCCTGTTAAAAAGGGATCATAGTATTTTGGGTCGCTTCTATTCTATTGGAGACTCCGCTTTGCGGCAACCAAAGTAGAATTTTGTGACCCTCCCTAGAAACTAACTAACACGCAACCTCAATCTAGCCCCCTTTTTCTAAAGGACTGTCGCAGATGTAGGTCCCTTGGGGGAGTTCCATGTTACTTTGAAGGCCTTAAGTCGTGGTGCATAATTTAGGGTAAAGCCCCAAAACGGTCTTATTTCAGGCTTTGGATGTTAAAAAATGGCCATATCCCTAGACCCTAAACCCTATGATCCCCATAAAGCCGTCACTTTGAGGCCAAGGCCGAGTTCGAGGCAAAGGCGAAGCTGCAGGCCGAGGCTGAAGCCAAGGCAAGAGGCAGTGCTGTACCTTCGAATTTAGGGTTTAGGGTGATATTGGGGTTATATTAGGGTTATACTGGGGTTATATTAGGGTTTTATTGGGATAATGGAAAAGAAAATGGAAACTACTAGGTTTAGGGTTTAGGGTTATATTGGGGTTATATTGGGATAATGGAAAAGAAAATGGAAACTACTATTAAGGCTTCAGGGTTTTGGGTTTAGGGGTATATAGTCCCCCTTAAGTAGATCGAATATGAGGTAAATGGGATCTTATTATAATATACCCAAAGCCATATTCTATCTACTTAAGGAGGACTATAGAATCCCCTTGACGATCCCCCACCCCCCTGATAAGATCCTCCCCCATGTAAGTACCATGATGTTTCCCCCAATATAGTACCGCTATATATTGGGGTTAGGCAGATTTGTGGCAGATGGTTTGGATTTGAGCATCAGATCGACCATCTTGCAAACAATGACCTGATGCCACACTCAACAGGATGCAAACCCTTTACTGTCCAGCCTCTTGTATGTACTCATAGTGCCATTTGACAGAGCTACTTGCATGCTGCCACCCCGCCATCGAGCTGAGAAGTGCAACGTCAGCCAGGGAGGTGGCTACTGTCATGTTTGCCATGCGGTAATGCATGACATCCTTTTTCTTACTGTTGTTGTTTCTTGTGTGTGCTTTTGGTGTCAGCCGCAGGCCAAAGAAGAGGCCGCAGCCGCCAAGCAGGCCATGCCACCAGTTAAGGCACCGCCAGCCAAGGCACCTGCACCTGTCCAGCCTGGTCCGGTAGTGGTGCCACCCCCAACGGTTCCAGTGAAGGCTCCACCTCCGCCTCCGCAAGCTAGCACCCCCAATGCCCCAGAGCAGACTGCATCAGCCCTGCGAACCATGTTCACTCCAAACACACAACCAGATGTGAAAGCACCACCGCCAGCAGCTGCGCAACCAACCCAGCCAACCCAGCCAAGTCAGCCCTCAGGCTCAGGCGTGTCAGGCGCAATTTCCAAGGCGGCGTCACGGCCCCCACAGACCATGGAGCAAGCACAGGCTGGCATAGCAGCGGCTCCCGCAGCACACACAGCAGCCACAGCAGCACCCGCGGCAGCGGCGGGTGCAGGAATGATGGCATACAACGCTGGGCAGCCGGGAATGGCCGGCATGCCCATGGGCATGGGAATGGGCCCCTCTGACGGCATACAGTACTCTATAGCAAACTCTTGCAAGGTTCTCGATTTGCTGCACAGCATGAGTCGGATTCCATGCGTTCCTGAGGCCTGGATATGATGGGCATGAGCGCGATGGGTATGCAGGGCACGGGAATGATGGGCATGCCAATGGGAATGTTTGGCTTGGGATACGATCCCAGTGCCATGGGCATGCAAGGCTCGGCTTGATGAAGGGTCTTAGAGGGTGACAACCTTTGCGCTTAACGTGCGGCGCATTGCAGCCGATTCAATTGTAATGTCATCTGAGCAGCGTTTTTTTAGGTATATAAAGGCTATGACGGAAGTGGTTCTGCAAGAGTGCTCGTCCGCGTAGTCTGTGTAGTTGGTGTGTTTTGTGAGCAAGAAGGGGTTCGTGCCGCATAGAACTGTCGATAGCCCAGGAATGCTGCGTAGTCCGCGTCGGCAGCACCATAGCAAGAGTGTGTTCGCGTAGTCCGTTTTTAAAACAGGAACCAGCGTAGTTCGCGTAGGCAGACTATGTTAGTTTCAAGACTTTAACCTTTACACAACAATGCGCATTTTCTGTCAAGCCTCAGAGGCCGCTATTGCCGCTCAGTTACTCGCGGCCTGCAGGGTCAATTACGCTAGCCAAATAGGCTGACTATGCCCAGCCTCGATTACATCTAGATGCAACTTCGCAATGTCAGGATGAAGTCTGGGCAAGCATCCCCTATTGGCTGCATCGTGAAATTGTGTTGCCAGAGGCATGGCATGGGGCATGCCGGCTGCTGCCGCGAATGGCACGCCTGCACAAGCTGCCCAGCAGCAGGCCACAAGTTGAATGTTCGCATACCCTTGACTACACTGAGATCAGTACTGGCATGAGTTCCACAACTGCAGCACATAGAGCATTGCAGTCAGAGCGCAATTTTGGAGAAGCTTCTCATTTGACCTCCCGCAGGCGCAGGCCACCCAGGCTCAGGCCACGCAAGGCCAGACTGCGGCCGCAGCTCAGCCTGCAGCGGCGCCCAACGCTTCTCAAGGCAAGATTTATGCTCCGAGGAATGTCATCCAAGCCCTGTACGGCGGTGAACGCTGTGTCAGAACCTTGCTCTAGGTGGCCAGAGGCACCAAGCGCTGAAAGTCTGGTGTCCTGTTGTTAGCCTGCCCCAGGAGCAGGAGGGCTGCTGCTGCCGCAGCCTAACAACTTCAAGGCTCGCCGCTTTGGGAGCTTTAAGCTTTGTAATTGGGTCTGTGGGTGGGACCTCATCCGCTTGCGGCTTCTGTATAAGCTTACTGAACACAGCACCGTGCAAGCTCTTCAGCAATGCAGCGCCCATCGCAATCCTGAGATGTGAGCATTTGTGAAGTGAGATTCCCTTGCTTCCGTACTCCACAGGTAAGAACATGTGGGAAGTCGTTGGTGTCAGAAAGCTCGCAGCAAAAGGCGCCGCCGCCTCCACCACCACCTCCTGCCGCTGCCTAGGCGCTGACGCTCGGCATTCCTTCGTTGCAACAGGTTCCATGTGTCTTCTGAAGATAGGCTGGAGGGAGCTACCTTCATCATGTAAAGGATGCTGAGCGAGGCTGGCAGCACCTTTGCCACTTGAGGCATGCCAAGCCTAATTATGCTCGAGCATGCTGCCTATGTATAAAGACAGCATGCCAGCTAGCTCCGCTGAGGCTGGAGGTGCATTGCGCAAAAGAGAGCACTGTCCCCGACATTTTGGCAGACGAACCTGAGTTGGCGGGAGAGGAGTGCTGTCATTTGTGAGAAGTCACTTTCTAGCAGGCCTAGGAGAGGAGTCTTGCAGCAGCTGTCCCGCCAGCAGGTAGGGAGTAGCTTCTATAGCAGAGAGCTGCATCGCACGTTTTGGTCCGGTAATAGGTTGCGCAACAACAACAACAACAACAACAACAACAACTCATGGCGCTATGTAAACGCTCCGAAGGTATGTACGTTTTACACACCCAGGCATCTTGCAGGGAGGGCCCTAGGCTGAACATTGTTCTGTTGAGCTGCTAGCTCGGGTGACACGGCTAAGGTTAGGGAATCCTTGTTGAATAGTCCATTGCCATGTCCATCTCGGACGCACTCGATGTTGCGATGCAGCTGCAGTGTAGTGGCCATGCAGCCGTCAGCGTATGCGTTTGGCGTTGGAACTGAAAGCTGTGGTGTGGAGCAAAACCGGAAACCAACGCTACCAAAGCACTTCAAGACAACACTCCCAGATTGCCATGTTTTACAGCGAGGCTAGTAGCAAAGAGTTTCAAGCAGGCTGCGTTGCGCAGCGTGCTACTCCTTATCAGACCTGACGGCAATGCACGCAACGTTAAAAGAAAGGCGTCTGTGCTTCGTGTCATGTCTTTCACGTTTGTTGTCAAATCCTGCGGGATCTCAACATAGGCCTTCCATTATCCAGTTGGGATAGAGCAACCCTGCCAAGTACCAGATGCCACGCTTTAGGCTTCTATAATCACATGCAGGACTAAGTTGAGGCTTATCTTTCCTGTGTTCTTGCTGCCTGCGCTGAGGGCGTAGTATGTTGCTGATTCGACTTGTGTTTGAGCATCAGATGGTGCTGTCGTCTTTTTCGTTGCGTGGATGTCAGGTGTCAAACTGCTTGCGTGAGCTGCACCGGGCAGTGCAGGACGAACTCAGGTTCAAAAACGCCACTTGGGGTTGTATAATAACCC